GATATCAGCCATAAAGCTGCAGTAATCCGTGTAATACTTGTCATCAGACATTAGACGTTTCTTGACGCTGTTCAGGCGCTTCTCAGCTTGAGCATAGTTGTTTGGGAGCTGAGTGTTCTTATGTTTGAAAGGGAGGGGCATTTCATAGTGCAAGTCCTCGAGATGAACGATACCAGTTTCCACGGTCTCGTAGAACCTGATGTCTTCGCGCGACATTGATATTCCCTTTTCCTTTTCGGAGAAGTCAAGTTCAAATATTCGTTCAACTGCCTGCGGTGTTATCTGTTCCTTAACCGTCCTTTGAGAGACTACATATCCTCGCGGGGATGAGGTGTCTTGCTGATTAAGATGAATTCAGTTGCACGTTAAGATGCTACTCTGACAGGGAGTATAGAGAGGACCGTTTATGTACCATCCGAGCAGCCATTGTACAGCATATGGATCTGATTCTCTACCGTAAACAATTTCTCTTGGTCGTAGGGCACTTGGACAGTTCAATCCGATAAGAAGACCCACTTCAACATCTTCCATGTAGGGGGAAAGTTCGGCACTAACATCCTTCAAATGAGACATCCTACTGATTACATCAGGTCGTGGTATTTCACTGCGGTCCGCTGGAATGACGTTTCGCGTGAAAGTTCTGGGCAACTCTAACCTTGCACTCTCGTCCTTGGCATTAGCTACGACTAATCCTTCAATGGCCTTCGACGTTACGCTGTGTGTTCCATGGATTGTAGTAAGAGTGAGGTCAGTGCTACTTCCTTCAACGCCAAGAGCCTTAGCTGCGCTCTTATTCACAAACGTTCCACCGCTGGCATTGTCCAGTAAAGCATAAACTCGTATTTTCTTCACTGGATTACTGTTATGAAACAACCAGACTAGCAATATACCCATGTTAATCGGCACATCTCCAGCTTCAGTTATGTTGCAGATGGCAGTGTGATTGCTACTAACTCGAGGTCTATCTTGAGGTTGGTTTTTGTCACCTTTGTCGTTCGATTTCTTAATTCCATCAGGGTTGTGTAGTGACGTTGGATGCTGCTTGTTGCACGTCTTGCACGTTTGCCTTTCCTTGCAATGCTTTGCAATGTGCTGGTCGCTAAAGCAGCCGAAGCACAGTTTCTTCTCTACTACAAAGTCTCGACGGTCACTCAGAGATTTCTTCAAAAACTGTTCACACTCGTTTAAGTTATGAGGCTTCTTGCATAAAGAGCATACAACTGTCTGTTGATTGCTATCTTCCTGATTCACACCAGTAGCAAGGTTTGTCCCTTTTCCCCTTTTTAGCGGCTTTCTTGTAAACTTAAGATGAGTGCCTCTTTCTTTTTCATCATGATTTGGCTTGCTAACATATTGCTCTGAAAACACAGGATCTGTGGCAAGATCAGCTTGTTCACGCTCGAATTGAGAGAACTCTTCGAAGTCGGCTATTCTTCCCTTTGCACTTTTTGTCCTATTGTTCCTTTCAGTCCATTTGGTTCGCAGGTACTTGGGTAACTTTTCCCACAGTTGACGCAGTACATGAGCAGTGTTTAAATCATCCATATGAGACATTCCTGTCATAGCAGACTTAGCTTGATCCAGGGCAATAGAGAAATCTTGGAGGGCTAAACCATCGTTTGGTCTGATTGGTGGCCAAGAAGACAATTTCGTGATATGGGCAGTAGCTATCTTGAATGGATCACCTAATTGTCTCTTTAAAAGTCTCTTAGCTTCTTCATAGGATCCTTCCATTTTCCTTTGTAGACAACCGTTTATAATTTCCTTTGCTTTACCTGACGTGTATTGACCCAGAAAATATAATCTCTCATTGGAATCTTCAACCTTTGATTCGATTAATGACTCAAAGGCAGTCATGAATAATGGATACTCCATAGCATCACCATAAAACATAGGAGGCTCGTTCGATGGCAAAAGACTCCTTGCTTGCTGGTTAACAATAGTCTGAGACAACTCAGTTTGTTTTCGTTGAATTTCCACAATGTCTTGGAAAGTATTGTCTTTGACTGACAAACTTGTTGAACAACCTTGTGGTGGTGATGGTGGCAGACACCATACCTGATCAGGAGCAGTATACGTAACAGCAGGAGTCGTTGCTAAAGATGGGTATGATGAAGAATGTACACGCGAGGGGTGTTCATGGGGTTTTGCTGCGTAGGCGGTAGTCTCTTCCTTACTCCGTGATGCACCAGTATTTATCGGTGTTGTGTAAATGGGTCCTTTCTGAAGTACCGTAAATGCACTAAGAGGACTAGCTTGTAAAGGCTGTTGATAATCTGTAACGCCTAAAGAACTTACAAGTCGTTGCTGCGAAGTTGGTTCCAAACCAGCAGAGTTACCTGATTGTATTGTACAAATTGGAGGACTTTGTGTATGAACAGGTGCCAAGGTTGACTCTTCATTCTTCATTTCTTCATAAATCCTTTCTTCTTCCCTTTCTTGAGCTAAACTCTGTTTTAGCTCTAAATGTTCAGCTGCCATTTAAAGCGCTTGCTTTTCCTTCAGAAATGATGCTTAAATTTCCAATGCTGCAACCTTAGTTTTTGCTTCTATCAACTTAGCTTTAGATGAAATTGAGGATAAGATGGACCGTTTAGAGTGATTAGACTTTCTTGTGCGATGAGACCCACTAGAGATAACAGAGTTTACTTCATCTGACTGATGCCTTTTCGCCTTGGACAAATATTCAATGACAGACTGTTTAAATTTAAAGACATCTTCATCGTGAGCATCGTACCATGAATTGGCATTAACAATAACAGCTTCATCTTCTAACGCGTCAACATAATTATCCTGAGCATCTTGCAGTTTAACAAGCAAATTGTTAAGACCTTCCATTTCAACAGACACAAATTCATAATTGTTAAGATCAGCAAGCAGCGGTTTCATTTTGTTTATCTGTCTAGTTACGTGACGTAACGCCACAGTTCTATGATCCTTTAACCTTTGTAACTCGTGTTGTTTACCTTTATCCGTTGGAATTTTTCTCCTTTCGCCCACTCCTAGCGCTTCAGCATCACTGACCGTCGATTTTGCTCCCATATTCAGCGAACCTTGAACCTTTACTGAATTAGGAAGTTCCGTTTCTGATGCTGCATCCGTTGGCTGAGTGTGAAGCGGCGATATAACACGAAACAGTTCCGTATCCATTGTTGGGGAGTGCGAACGCGAAACTTGCAACCTCAGCAAATTGTCATCCTCAAAATAAGCCGCAAATTCCTTGCCTTCACCTTCCATGACCGTAAATATACCCAAAACCGTAAAACCAGATCAAAACTATAGATAAATAGAAGCACCACCGTAACTATCCTTGTAAATCCATAAAGTCCATGAGGTCGTGAAATAACTGTGGCTGTGAATGGCGGCACATGATAGCCGTGGCGATGAACATAACAACAAAACGTTTAATCATACACGAGGCTGAATCAACTCACAAGTATCATCACAAACATCCGTTAGAAAGCTTTAGAAATCCGTAGCACGACAAAGAAAAACTGAAACAAACGACTTACAAAACACTTGGTAAACTTGAAGAAAACCTTAGTGAAAACTTCAGGTTATTTCACGGTGGCCTCGTGCCCGCCAATCTCGAGGCCCCGTGCGCATGGTCCTAATAAACAAGGGGGTAAGCCCGCTGGTCAGGATACCAGCAGTTACACTCTTAAAAGTTTTCTACAGCTAGTTGAGCCAATAAGCAGCTGGTGTTAACTTACTTTGTGTTATAGTCCATTAATTCCTCTGATGTTGGGAATTGAATTACTGCCTCTTTCCCAGAAGTGATCATTAGAATTTTCTCCATAATGTGGAATTGTTCAGGTATACTCATCGTATCCCAAATGACTAACAGGAACTGTTCCCTGTTATCAGACTAAAAATAAAAGTTACAAAGACTTTTGTGAACCACCAACCAAAGTGTAAACAGTTTAGAATTTATCTCGAGGATCAATTTCGGAGTGCAAAACATGCAGACTTGCAGACTGGCAGGTAAAACTTGCTCTAAAATGCTTTCATCAATGATTTATATACCAGTTTGGCTACAGAAAAAGCCATTTTACTGAGCAAGCGATTATGTAGATCACTGATAATCTGAAGGCCTCTATGGACAGTTACCTTATATGTTGTTGCCTCTTCTTAGATATCTCAAAAGCATTTGATAAAGTAAATCATTAAATATTGTTAGATAAACGCTATAAATATGGTGCCCGTGGTTTGCAAGTTATCTGCTAGATCGTAAGCAATTTGCCAATTCATCCAACAAATTGTCCTTTCGCCTTTTTGCTGATGATGCCAACTTTTTCTATACTTCAGATGACATAAATGATATTGAATCAGTCATGAACTATGAGATTACTAGAGTTCTCAATAATCATTCCATTAATAAATTATCAGTTAACATGAAAAAAAAACTAATTTCATGTTAATAAACTCTTCTCGTAAAAAAGTCACTCCTATAAATATTTTATACTTTGAGAGGAAGACATAGATTAAGTTTATTTTGTATTTCCGAGGAGTGAAAGAGTCCCATTTATAATAAAAACTTCCGTATATCAAGGGGTACCATTTGTATAGGATTGCGAAAATGTTCTTGTTCACTATGAGCCCCCTCCCTTATTTCCTGGTCTGAATGAGCTCACCCCCTTATCTGAAGGTCTGGATCCGCCACTGCGAAACTCTCATAGGAAATGGCATTATACAGAGATTGCAGCCCTGCCATTTGTGTTTGATATTCTCACGGTTTTTGAAACTGGTCCATTCCTCTGTTTAACCAGTCTTTTTAGCAAGCTTCTTTACCAAATGTCTGTGGTCATTTTTACCTTTCATTGGAAAAATAATATATAAAATATAGATACAAAATGTACAGCATTATAAGAGTAAAAGAAGACCTCCTTGATTTTAGTGATCGAGGTAGATTGTTCCAGTCCTTTACAGTTCTTACAGCAAAGGTGTGTCCTCCCTCTGAGATGTTCCTATATACATATTTGCAAGAGATGGCCTGGACTTCAATCAGAGTCCAGATATCTTATGCACTTTTTCTTCTTTATGCAGCCTTTACACCACTTTTTTGGATTCCAACTCCTTCCTTTGCACTTTTTCGTTCTTGCTCTTCTTCTTTGAGCCCTTGCCGGATCCTGTACCTGGTTCTGTTCCTGTTCCTGGTTTGCTGGGAATTGATCTGGTGGATCCACTAATCTTTCCCTCGTTTCTTGTTGCAAAGTTCTAAACTCAATTGCATATTGATCCCACTCTTCAATCATTTTTTCGATCTCTTTTCTAAATCTTTGATGTAGTCTTGCTAGCTCCTCCTGTAACTCTGTTATTTCTTCGTTCAATTCTCTCTCTGTCTCCAAGCGACTCCTCTTTTGTTCTTCTATTTCTTCTTTTAATCTTGTGTTTTCTTTTTCTTTATGGCTCATTTCAACTTGCAGTAATTCCATATTTTCCTCAGAACATAACAAAACATAAAACTTTATTTATACTCGAATTTCAGAGTAGCTAACAAGCTAATATCTTCGAGCTGACACTACATGAAAATAATATAGAAATATATATATATATATATATGCATTAAATGCATTATAGGTAATAATAATAAAATAATAATAAGCACATAATAAAGAAAATATGAACAGTTTCAACGTGAGAACAGTTTGTTTTTCTCCACAAATGTCGTATTTGTTTCTCTTTCGTTTCCAGTTCTCTCCTACATTCTTCAAATTCTTTTAATCGTTTGTCGCTCTCTGTTGTTAACACTTTGAGCCTCTCTTTTAAATTCCGATTTTCATATGTTAATTGGGCTATCCTACTTGTAGGAGATTCCTCAGCTTCATTCAATTCTTCAAACATGGGTCTGTCAAATCTCTAAAGCCGCATGTTGAAGTCGGCTTTCGCCAAGTCGTGCTATACTTGTGACGGTCCTCCCGTGTATCCTGGTAGGAACCATATATCCGCCACCAAACCGAAACAGTGAATTCTTCACAGCTTTTCAAATATAACACTTCTTGGAGATTTAATACATGTTGATGGTTCTTATTTGCATTTAAGGCTGTCAGAATAGGTTGGCTTATTTGTAGGATGGTAGCAAGTGAGAAAAGATCAATATGTTCAACAGTTTGCTTGACATGTGTTCAGTTGAATAGAAACCAGATTAGGAAGGGCTAGTTGTCATATCATTAGAACCGCATGTTCCTTGTGTATGTGTCATTTCAGCAAATAGAAGAAATACAGTTTCCAGAGAAGCTCATGACTCAAAGAACTGTAACGTTGTTGGTTTTCCCCCTAATACCCTTCCTCATTGTAATGAGAAGTAATTTTTAACATCATCCCATCCTTTTCAACATTAATATTTATCTTAGTAAGAACAACCTTGAGATTGTTATCAGTTCTTTTAGAATTTGAAAAAGTTGCTGTCCATAGAAAGATGTAATGAAGAATGGATTCAAAGATTGTGAATAAATTGGGCATCAAATGATCTGGTGGATCCACTAATCTTTCCCTCGTTTCTTGTTGCAAAGTTCTAAACTCAATTGCATATTGATCCCACTCTTCAATGATGTTTTCGATCTCTTTTCTAAATCTTTGATGTAGTCTTGCTAGCTCCTCCTGTAACTCTGTTATTTCTTCGTTCAATTCTCTCTCTGTCTCCAAGCGACTCCTCTTTCGTTCTTCTATTTCTTCTTTTAATCTTGTGTTTTCTTTTTCTTTATGGCTCATTTCAACTTGCAGTAATTCCATATTTTCCTCAGAACATAACATAACATAAAACTTTATTTATACTCGAATTTCAGAGTAGCTAACAAGCTAATATCTTCGAGCTGACACTACATGAAAATAATATAGAAATATATATATATATATATATATATATAGCATTAAATGCATTATAGGTAATAATAATAAAATAATAATAAGCACATAATAAAGAAAATATGAACAGTTTGAACGTGAGAACAGTTTGTTTTTCTCCACAAATGTCGTATTTGTTTCTCTTTCGTTTCCAGTTCTCTCCTACATTCTTCAAATTCTTTTAATCGTTTGTCGCTCTCTGTTGTTAACACTTTGAGCCTCTCTTTTAAATTCTGATTTTCATATGTTAATTGGGCTATCCTACTTGTAGGAGATTCCTAGGATAGAATGCCATTTACGATTGTTGTGGTAACTCCGTTGATTACCATCATGGACCAAGTGGAATATTTGAACAAGTCAGATCGGAGTAGCGGCGGCAATGATGGGAGAAGATATGGATGAAGCCGTTAAAAGTGGAAGCTGTGAAATTGTTTACTGAAGTGCCAAATCGTAGTTGTCTAATGAATGGACAAAAGGACTTCAAAAAGAAAAGCTTGGAAAGCAAGTTGCCGCTATCGCTATTGACGAGGTCCACTCAATCACCGAATAGTAAATTTTCCCTTCAATTGTTGTGCATTTTCATTGCTTGAGTTAACGATCTGTATTGAAACGGCTTTCTATCGAAATGAGCGATATTTGTTTGTCACTTGATTCATAATTTTTTGTCACGTACACGCTGAAATCATGTTTTTAAAGCCATAAATAAATTCATTATACATGAATACTTCTCCCGCCTTCTATTGTCTGAAAGTCTTACATTGGGTTTTTAGTAAGATTATGTATACATAAATTAATTTTTGATCTGACAAACTTCGATTTATTCGCAAGAAAAATAATAAATGCATCTGGCTGTAACACCAGTCTTGATTGACAAGTGAAGACCACCTACAGCTGATGCGGTCTGACTGGGCGGAAGAGTCTATTTAAAACAAATCTAACAGGCGTTCCCTCTCTCACCTCTACTCCTCCCTCGCTTTTACTTTTTCGCGCTCCCTTTTACTTTGCACTGCTCCCCACTATCTGAACGCCTGGAACAGGCTACAACTGTACCTACACACGTACATACATACATACCAGTATACATACTAAATATACCTACATACACAATACATGTTATATACCTGAAGGCTTTGAACCAGATTCAAGGTAAACACTTTTTTTTTCAGCCTCTGTATCGAAAATCACATCTCCAGACGAGACAGATGGGATGAGAGGAGGAATTTCTTCCACTGACAAAGAAAACGGTTTAGCTATTCTGGTATAAACCACACGTTCCAGCCATCGAAATCGCAATCTCTGAAGCAATTCTGGAAGATTAATCATGTCCTTCTTGGGTTCGTCTTTCTTAGTGTAGTGAATCTAAAAAAGAAATATGTAAAGAAAACGGTTAACAGCAGGAATAACTTTAGCCATAAATACCGCAAAAACAACATCATCCAAGCTTCTTACAGTGATCATTTCAAAACAATAAAATCCATTATAGAGAAGATCCTTGATATAGGCAAGCTGACTGTCCGTTGGAGAGTTCTCCTAGAAAATAATAATAAAAAAAACACTCCACTTTACTGGAGAGGGAACCAAAAAATATAATTGGATAAGAATTTTAAAATTCAGTAATATTTGAATCTGATATCTGGATTGCACAGATATCAACAATAAAAAATCAATCTTATACATTCTGAAGAACAGGAAAAGCAAATGTCAATTACACCACAATTAGGGTGCAGGTGGAATGGGCAATTAATCTGTCAATCATAGAATCTGACCCAAAAGACATCTTCACTGGTGATACAATACAATAGTTACCATTTAAGCATCCATTAACACACAATGATCAAATTCACAAAGGCTCAGACAAACCTCCCTGCACTTTAGTCGAAGGACTGACATTTTGGACATGATCACATTGGCAAGGGGATGTCCTCTTCGAAAGTACTCTCGAAATTCAAGCATGATATCAAGAGACACCAGAACCTTGTCACAAATGTTAAACAAACCTGTCAAGATAATAAAGTTGTGTCAAAGTAAGTAATCAAGAGCCCTTAAGCATTTCAGTTGCAGGGTAAATAAACCACTTTTAGTATGAGGACAATCAAACAGCTGGAGAGTTCTTTTAGTCCTATTTCCCTTTGAAAGTGTGGTTACACTGATAATAATAACAAGAGAAAAATCCAATGTTTAGTCTCTATTAAAAAGTAAAAGCCATATTTGCATGAACCATTAAAGTGTTTAGAGAACCAGGACCAAGGGGTCAGGGGACACAGCATAAAGTCCAGACTTTCGGCTAATTTAAGATGGCAACCACACTGATAAGGTCTTGCCGATTTAGGTGATCATGCAAGACTGCTAAAAAATACTCCTTCATGTTATGCTGTGGTGACACCAGTGAAAGTACCCTTGCTAGAAGAGTCACTTTGATCTTTCCTAGATAAGTCGGGAAATGGTAAGCGACTCCGTCAACATCTTCAAATTTGTTTGATTTGCAGACAAGTTTCGTACCGAATAAACCATTTTTATCTGTGCATGCACGCCTATTCTCTTTATGCTCCATAACAAAACAAACAGCTGAAGCTTCAATTTCATGCAGGAATTATTGAATGTTCAGTTTTAGAAAATTATTGGAAACTGCACCCCAATTTGAGATGGATTTTGTTTTGGGCCATGAGGTCAGTCGATCTTACTCGCGTGAACGGATCCACAATTCACTTTTGTGCGACGTCCATCAAAATCTGAAAAATCAGCGCTTTCTTCACTTTCTCCCCTTTACATCTCAGCGAACCTCTTAAGAAACAAAAGATTGTGGTTTGTGGTTTGTGATTGGTGGATTTCAATCTGTTTTGTGTGTTTCTGAGTTCAAGTTTCGTTGTTTGATTTTGAAAAGCACAAAAGTTTTACCTTAGCTCTAACTTTTTTGGTCTCCTTTTTACTGAGACATGGCAAGTTAAGATTCCCAAAGAGAAATTGTTCCTATAGAGCTGTAAGTCCAAATCCTAAATTTTCAATTGCAGCTTCTGCTCGTTTATATTGCCTCCTAACAAAGTGGATGCTCCGATAGCGGTTTGATTGAAGTCACAGAAAAATTTGAATTTGGAGCATGCTAAATATGCATCGTCGAGGATGTCTGCACTCTTTCCGACCTATCTAGGAAGATCGAAGGAGACTCTGTGCGCAGCCTGGGTACAGTGAAAGGACGTCGAACACATAGAAGAATCGACCCTAATACATGCAAAATGACTATCAGGCATATCTGTCACAAATAAATAATTCTACTAAATAGTTCAATAACCTTACCAATGTCAGCAGGGAAGGGCTGATCAATGGCCATACATTGCTTGCTTTGACACACCCTTACTTTCACATCCACCTTTTTAAATGGATTCAGTTCTGTTACAAGATACGCGCTGTTACTCTGTTGGCCAGGGTGGTTTATGAGACGTCCCAATGGTGATTCGCAGAGCCCACAATTATCTATCGAGGGTTGGAACAAGCTGGGCCACGATCCCTCAACACCAAACAATGTACACGAGTCTCTTGCCATTATAGAGTGCAATAAGTGAGGCGGGAATCGATACGGTAAGCTGCGTGTTTTATACGCTAAAAGAATGGTCGATTTCCGCTGCAACGAGTCTTCTACGTCTTCTGAATCAAAGGATACCACAGGCTCCGATTGGGAAGCAGAAGAAGAAGAGGATTAGAACTGGACGAAGGACCTGCCTGTTCAGCAGGAGAAAACTGTTCCAAAGAGGCGAACAACAGATGCAGATGCAGACAGAAGGCTTTGGCTGTTGACCCTTTCGCTTTGGATGAAAAGGAACGGCAGTCTTTAGCCGTGCAAGAATAGCCACTTTTGTTCCTGCCCTCTCTTTTCACATGACAAAAACCAAGCGGATTGCTTGCAGTGGGCAATCTGATTTCTCACAGGTATTTCTCAAGAAGACTATCGCGCTGCCGTAAGAGCCGGAGCAGATATCGTTTAGTTTTGTCCGTCCTGTAGCCGTCCT